GTGGGACTAGAACTCACAGCCTCCTGGCGATTGGCCCAAAGTCACCCAATCGCCTTTCATGCCTAAGGCGGGACTAGAACTCACAGCCTCCCAATGAGATGTTAGGAATGGAAGAAGGTGCAGCCTTTCCCAGCAACCAATCGGCAGAGACAGCATTGCTTTAGCAGAAGCCCCCAACTCCTTCCTCCCTCTCCTCCTCGTCTCCTTCCAAGCCGAGAGGTCCGTGTCCAATGAACCAGCTCCCCACCTCCCTGGAGGATGGGCCTCTCCATTTGCAGCTGCGTTGGCTTTGACGCCCGAGGGTGAGAAAAGGTGAGACGGGAGAAGAGGAGAAGAGAAAAGGATGCATGCAACCGTCTTCTCTCGTCCCGGCGAGTCACACTTACATGTTGTGAAGCACACACCATCCGCAGTGGGGGTCCCCTGAGCCCAGGCACTCGCTACAACTTTTGTACTGTTCGCAAGATTCCACCGGTACGCGGATAAGCTGTGGGGGACAAAAAGAAAGAGAAGTTTGAACAATTCGGGACACCGGTCACACAGGTTCCTAACCTGTTAACATCCTGTCCAGCAAGGCGGTTAAACGTTCAATCTTGAGGAAATAAGTTCCACGATCTGAATAAGTTTGGTAGGACTCCAAATTCAGCAACAATTTTACCATGGAAGCCAAAACAAACAAGCTGTGATTGGCAGGCTTAAGCTGGATATAAAACGTTCGTGTAGAGAGATGCCAGGCTTGGGAGCTGAAAAACGAGCAGGCAGCAATCAGACACAGGAGCCATCAACAGGCACGTAGAGATAAACAACGTCTACGTACCATTTAAAAGAGACAATCCAAAAGCTAAACAGGAAACCAAAGGACCAAAGCGCTTCCTTGTCAGCAATCAACACCAAGTAAAGCAGAGATAACACCAAGATCAACACTAGGCAAACAAGGAGAAGTAAATAATACCTCAATCAGGGAGCTGCCAACTCATACAAGCAAATGGTAAACAACGGCTCAATCAAGAAACAAGAACACTTCCACCCACACCAACAGGGCAAGCCACCAGTATATATAAATAAGAGCAAACCCCCACTCTCATTTAGCATGGATCTCCTCCTCCTCCTCCTCCTCCTCCTCCTCCTCCTCCTCCTCTCACCCTCTCTCCCAGAACTGATAAAGATACTTAACGATAGATCTATCTATCTATCTATCTATCTATCTATCTATCTATCTATCTATCTATCTATCTATCTATCTATCTACCTACCTACCTACCTACCTACCTACCTACCTACCCTAGCTAGCTAGCTAGTTAGCCAGCTAGCTACAAGTAGTTATCTAGCTCTCTTCCTTCCTTCCTTCCTTCCTTCCTTCCTTCCTTCCTTCCTTC